CTGAGTTCCGCTACAAAGCAGGTGCTTACATATACTTGTAACAGGATCAAGTCAGGCTCAAGCTCAGGAAGTGGAAGGGGCAAGGAGGGTGGGAGAGAAGTGGAAGTGACCCCCCGAGCCAGCTAACCCTGGGTGGGGGAGGGATTCCCAAGATGACTGGCAATGGGTGGACACTGACACCACAGCCCAAGCACCTGAAGGTCATTAGCCCAGAAGCCAGTGGGGTACGTCCCCACCCCTCGGGGGTCCCCCAACAGCTCTGGAGCCTTCTTTGAGCCGAGCATCCTTGCTCGTTAAAAGGTCAGACCACGGGACCCCAGTGCTCTCCTGGCCCGACCCCATGCCTGTGCTGCCCGCCGGCCTTCTGTCCAGGTGGCGATCAAACACGCCACCTCCTTTTGTTGCCGGGCGGCCCGCCTCAGTCCCACCCGAGGCAGTGGGCTCCACGCGGGCAGGGGCACTGTCCCCGTGCTGCCCACAGAGCACGCAGTCGCCCTGGGCTGGGGCAGGGACTCGAGGCGCGCGTCATAGGACAGGAGGGACGCGGTCTGTCCTCCTCTGGCCATCTGTCCCTTCACACACACACCCCACCCCACCTGAAGGGGACGCCCAAGGTGGTCCTTCTGCACGCTGACTGGCAGCGGGTCACCCTGTGGGAAGCTTAGCCCTCGAGTTCAACATCCCCTAAGCTGGCCTCCAGGGCTTCTCAGGTGGCCCAGTGGTGAAGAAGCCACCTGTTGATGTAGGAGGCAAGGAGACCGGGTTTGATCCCTGGGTAGGGAAGATCCCCTGGAGGAGGGCATGGCAACCCACTCCAGTATTCTCGCCTGGGAAATCCCACGGACAGAGGAGCCTGGCAGGCTACAGTCCATGGGGTCACAAAGGACTTGGACACGACTGAGCACACAGCACGCACGCAAGATGGCCCCTGCCCTGCTCAAGATGAGTCCACAGATCCTGTGGTTGGAAGCACAGCAACAAAGTGCTATATACCACACCCCCTGGAATTTAACTTCACATACATCATTTTTTCCCATATCCGTGCGTGCGTGTATCTATATAGTGGGAAGATCACCTGGAGAAGGAAATGGCAACCCGCTCCAGTACTCTTGCCTGGAGAATCCCCATGGACAGAGGAGCCTGGCGGGCTGCAGTCCATGGGGTCGCAGAGTCGGACATGACTGAGCGACTACCACACGCATATAGTTCGTTCTAGATCTGGAATGTAGGGATTGCAGAGCTTTAAAAGCCCCAAGCCTGCCCGTGTAGCAGATCTGCTGGCTGCTACTGGCAGCGGACACTCACTTGCCAGAGCCAGTTTACAGGGAAGTGATCCCAGGCAGTTTAGAACGTGAAGAAGCTCCTTCACGGCCACTGGGTGGGGGGGACCTTCAGACTACACTTGTGGGCAGGGGGTGATGGGGCCTCCAGGCACAAGTGTATCAGGTTCCCTCCTTCTGGAATGTTCCTTTCTGGATGGCCACCTCACCGCCTGCTTTGAACCCGGCAGAGAATTTCTTTTGCCAGGTGTGGCAATCGAACATGTTCAGAGAAAACAGGTGAGAAACGCTCTTTGCCACCAGCTTGAGAAGTGCCGTGATGCTGGGTTCACCAAGCGACTTTGAAAAGGCAGCAAAGTGAATGACAGCTGTGGATCCAAGTGGAAGGTGAGCAAGGGGCCTGATGCCTGCTGGGTGGGAACAAAGGCGGGATCCGCCACTCAGTCGTGTCCAACTCTCTGTAGCCCTCGGGGCTCCTCTGTCCATGGGGTTCTCCTGGCAAGAGTACTGGAGTGGGTTGCCATTTCCTTCTCCAGGGGATCTTCCTGACCCAGGGATTGAACCTGTTTCTCCTGCATGGCAGGCAGATTCTTCACCATCTGAGCCACCAGGGGAGCCTTTCTTACTTCCATACAGTAAAACCTTCTGTGTCTGCCTATCATCTCCGCCACACAGCCCGCCTTTCAATCAAGAGGAGACTTACTGAGCACCAACTACGTGCCGGGCACTGTGCTAGGCTGGGACACGGCAGGTGAGAGTGGCTGCTCACCGTCTGGCTCCTGGAAGACCAGGATGGGAGGGCCACTTGGGAGGTGAAGCTGCCACAGCAAATGGGCAGCGAGTCATGCTGCTATTTGAGGAAACAATGCTCAGACAAGGGACACAGCAAGGCCCAAGTCCAGAGACCCACTCGCAGCAAGCTTCAGGGAGGGCGCAGAAGCCGGGGGCCTGGAGCCCCAGGGGCAGAAGGTGGTGGTGAGGAGAGGTCGGGGGTGCAAGGCTGGACGACAGGGCACCATTGGTCCCAGATGGGAGAGCAAAGAACAGCTAGACCCCGTATTTTAATAACTGGTCCAGCAGCAGTGCTGAGGGCAGGCTGGATGAGGGCCAGGGATGAAGGCCAATTCGGCCTTTTGTTTCTGCAGTCCAGGCGAGATAACATGAGGGTGGAAGCAGTGAAAAATCCGTCAGATTCAGAAGTCTTTGAATGCAGAGGCAATAGGACTCACTGCAGAACTAAATATGGTGTGGAAAGGGGAAGTCCAAGGCTGGGGCCAGAACAACTTGGCGGAGAGGCGGTCGCCATTCTGGGGATGGACGCGTGGGAAACTCAACTGTGGGGAGGGCGTGTTCAGTATGAGCCGCCCATCAGACATTCTGTTGGACATTCCCCGATCTGGTCCCCTCCTCCCTTTCATGTCTCTTCTAGACTCTGAGCCTGTATTCCAACCAGACCGCATTCCTCTCTTATTTCCTCAATATTCATGAGAGTTGTGTCTATTTTTTCCCCAGAAATACTCCGCCCTAACAAAAACTATTCCCACCTTGACTTGAGCACCAGTGGTCCACTCCCATCAAACAAAAGCCTAAACGCCTGATGGGACTTCCAGAACAGGGTGGAAGAACACATCTGCACCCCGGTGCTGTCCTGGCCCTGCAGACACTTACAAACAGATGGGAAAGGTAAGCAGACACGCCCTCCAAAAAGAATGGTAAACTCAAGGGGGTAAGGATGAAAAGCTCAGAAGAGGGACTTCCCTGGTGGTCAAGTGGTTGGGAATCCACCTTGAAACGCAGGGAATGCAGGTTCAATCCCTGGTTGGGGAGTTGGGGAGCTGGGATTCCCACCAGCCACGGGGCAACTAAGCCCTCATATTGCAATGACTGAGCCAGGCTTCTCTCAACTAGAGAGAAGCTCGTGTGCTGCAGCTAAGACCTGTCACAGCCACAAATAAATATTATCAAAAAAAAAAGCTCAGAACAAGCAAGCAGAAAATAGAATAGGTTCCTTAAGTTAGGGAATGCCTCCTGCAAAGAGGGTGCTTGTCCGTGACTGTAAACAGCATCTCCATTGGAAGGGGCTCCATTTACTGGCTGCCTTTGTTTCCTTGAGCTGGACCCCTGTTCTGAGCAGTGGGTCCCCTGGGCGGGTGGAGCAGGGAGGTGAGGAAGATGTGGTTTAAAGGAGAAGCTGCAGGTTAAGAACCTTTCATGGCACCAGACACACAGTAGGTCTTAATGGGCGGGCTCCCATCTGGAAGGGAGTACAGCCCGCCATGACGTATGTGTTCCTTGTTAGGGGCAAACACAAGCATTCATTCCGCTGCCCTGTATCCCCGAGAATGCCTTCACTCATTTTATTTGACAAACTATAGTATCTATCTACTTAGGGCCATCTCAACTTTTTTTCCCTCAATATCTCAGAAGCTCTCTGGAGACCTCCAGATCTTTATGATCTAAGTCCTTGGCCATGTTTTCCCCAGTTCTGAGTGAGTCGGCATCAGCTTTCGAGGAATCTGTGTCTAGCAGAGGAGCTGTTAGCACCTTCAAAGCACATTCACACCCACCCACCCCTTCAAGTAAAGGGCCAAGCCATCCTGGGCAGGGCAGAAACTGCCAAATGCTTTGTCTCCCAGCAGACTGCTTTGGGGAGCAGGGGGGAGCGGGGTGGGGAGGCAGAGCCAGCAGCATCTCAGACCTCACAGACAAGGAAATCAAGACCACAGAGCCCTGCACTGCTTCAGCCAGCTCTGAGGTTCAGAGGGCAACGCTGTCTTCAGAGGGAAGGTTCCAGTGCCCCAAGGGCACGTACCCTGAATTTAAGCTGACACCCCTTGGGTGGGCATCGCCAATCAAAGTCATCCACCTACAGACTGTGTACAAGCCCCACCCAGGAAGCTCAGGAGAACCCTCCCCCGACACACAGACACTAGGGAACCGTCATGTTGGTACCTCCAGTTTCCACCCCCGCCCCCCACTCAGTCCAGGCAGGCAGAAAGGATTTCACTGTGTAATCTCAGCAGTGGGAACACTGACAAGCACACTGGGTCATTTCGATAATTACAGAGAAGTAACGGAATATTTTCGAGGACTTCCCAAGGAATGGGTTCTAGAAGCCTTCTCAGCTTGGGTACAGGAGGCCTCTGCAGATGATTCATGGGGATAAACTGGTTCCTTATTTTGCAGTGGGGCTCAGACGGCGCGAGGGGGAAGACCAGGCTGGAAGGGTAGAGACCTGGGTGTGAGCCCCATCTCTGCCACACTGGGGGACCCTGGGTGTGCCATGAGTACTGGGTGTCTGCCGGGCATGCAGGGTCTCCCTCAGGGGGGCCCAGGCCAGCAGGACAAGTCGGGGAGCCTCAAGTCATCTCCACTTTACAGATAAGTAAACCGGGGCTCAGAGAGGCCGAGTCACCAAGCACCCCAAGGGTCAACGTCCGAGCCCCCAAACCCAGAGCCCTTCACTTGAAGGGAACTAAATCTGAGCCTCGGCTTCCCCGATGGAGAGAATTGGGCCTGGATACATCTGCAGCTGTCTCCCTTGGCTTCCGAGGTGTGGTCCCCGAGGCTGAAGGGGGCGTGGCGTCCTCGCCCCAGGCCGCTGGGCTGGAGGGGAGGGGGGTGCAAGGGGAAGGCTTCACCCCAGAGCTGGGCGGGTGGTCAGGGAAAGAACCAGCATCCGGGCGGCGGCCGGTGGAGGCGGGGAGGCGAGGTACTCACGTCTATGTTCCTTAGGATGACGCACTTGCCATTGGTGTAAAGAAAATTGTTGCCCTTGGGGTCGCCGCCGACGATTTTGGAGACACCCCTCTCCACCTGGGGGAGGCTGGCGAACACCTTCTCTGCAGAGACACAAACGCAGCCAGGCACCTAAGGGCCAGCCCCGCGCCGGGATGACGGCGGAGGGGAGGGAAAAGGGGAGAGAAAAAAGAAGGGGGGGGGGGCGGCCCTGGACCGGTCTCGGCCGGTCACCTGTTGCCTCCAACCCGGAGGGGCGGCCGCCACTTTGAAGGAGCGCAGGAGACCGGCGCGACTTCCTGGTCGGCGCGCTCCCTTAACCAGGCCCTGCAGGGAGATGCGGGGACTTCCACGGGGCCCCGACCGCATCGCCAACTTTGGGGCGCCCTCCTCGCCTTCCCCCGCCCGGCGAGGGATCGCTGCCCGGCGCCCCCGGAGGGCGGCGGGGCGCTCACCAGCCGGCTCCCGCACCCCTCCCCCGCGCCCCGCGGACCTTGCCGGACCGCCCACGCCCGGCCGATGGCCGAGGGGGCCAGGCAAGCAGGGCGGGCGCCCACCCCCGGGGGCGGGGGGCGCGCACCGGGCCGCGGCACTTACTGATCTCGTACGGCATCCTTGCCCACTTGTTACCGCGCCGCGCTCGCCAGAGAGCCTCTAGGGGCCGCGCGCGCCGCGAATCAGACCTGGCCGAGGCCGAGCCCGGGGACAGGGGCCGAAAGGCGGCGCCGGGCGTGCAGGGCGCGGAGTGGGGCGGGGGGGGCGGTCCGAGGCCGGGACTCCGAGGCCGGCTCGCGCCCTGCCCTGCGCGCTGCCGCTGCGGACGCGCCGAACCCGGAAGCGCGGCCCCGCGCGCGCGGCTCGCCCCCCAGCTTTGACCATATATAGTCAAGCGCTCGGCTCGGCGGCTGCGGCTCCGGCGAGCCTGCGCGGACCTGGCCGCCGCCGCGCCCCTCCCCCTCCCCGCGCGGGCCCCGCCCAACGCGCCCCGCCCCCGGAAGTGACGTAGTTCGCGACCGCGTGAAAAGGCGGTGCGGTCAGCTCAGGGCCTCAGAACGCTTCTGTGAGCTGTCGGGTGAAGATTTCGCGGCTTGGGTAGTTGGGGGAAGGGTGGGCTAAGGAAGTTGGGTTTTTTGGGGTTTTTTTGGTGAAGTTTTGCCGACGCTGAAATCACTGGAGCGTCAGGATAAGGCTTGTGTTTGCGTAGCGGGCGTTTACCTAGCTGCCAGCCTTCCGGCCTAGTGGGCGTCCTGCTTGGGTTTTGCAAACACAGAGGAGTACTTTTTCTTGCTTTCTTCTTTAAAGCATGACTAACTGGCAGTCGGCATTCCTCGCAAAAAGCAGCTGCAGGAGGAGTTTTACGGATGTGCTTTGCGGGGCCCGAGCTCTCGTAAAAACTTAGAAAACTAGGGTCTCAAGAGCAGAGAAGCGGGGAGGGTTGTAGGTTCTAAAAAAAAAAAAAACTAGTACTTGTTTCCTAATAACAGCAGAAGAGAAGGGGGGAACTTCCACTTGGAAGGCTGAAGCAGTGGCTCGTTGGTTGCTAGGGGAAAAGCAAGTTGAGATGTTGTTTGGAAACTCACCTTTCACTGTCGGGTACTGTCTCGGGATTTGCAGGGACGGGGGTGGGGGGGAGGAGGGTAACGTAAAGTCAGAAACCTCAGGGTGATCCTTGATTTTTCTCGAACCTGCTGGGAAAATTTTTTTATGCTTTTATTCATTCGAAGCTTTAAAAGAGTTTTCAACATATAAAAATAGAAAAAACATTACAACAAAGATCTTGGCGTCAGACATAGGAAGCGATGTACTGATCATAAGGAATTGCGGTGGAAGCTTCCAGAGTGAGGGTGGTCAGTGTGTCTCTGCCAGGCCAAGCCTGTGCGACCTCCCGGGGGCCATGCTATCCTGGCCTCTGGCGCTCTTGGGAAATCTTCGGAGTTGTAGGGGACATGGTACCTGGGTTGGCTCTATTTTTGAATTGCATCCAGGTTCATTCCTTGTCTTTACTGAATAGCCCTAAAGAGCTCTGAAGGCGCACCTGCGTGAACACAGGTGTGGCCTATCTAGTCTCTAGGCATTTGCTGCTCTTACCCTGCCCCACCTTCACCTGTCTGCTCTTCAGGCTGCAGCCTATTTTAAAATTGAAAATGATGTCTGTTCCTCACTCAAATCTGTAGGTGCTCGGTCTCAAAGTTGAAGCAAAAGTCATGAAAATGGCTTACTGAGCTCTATGTGCTAGATCTCAGGTTTCCGTGAGACTATCTTCCTCTCTTTCTGCTTTCTGCTCTGTTCCCTATTTTCTGCAGCACCCCAGCTTCCTGGGTGTTCCACGAATGCCCCAGCCTTGCTCTTGCCTCCAGGGCTTCTATAACCTCTGTTCACTACCTGGAATTACTCAAGTACTTAAATGCGAGTGTCCTTTATTCAGGGAAAACCCCCCTACCCTGACCACCTGACTGGCTCTAAACCTTCCAACCCCTACAAATACCTTTTTGATACTCCGGTCCCTGTTATCTGGAGTGTGTCCCTGACAGGGTAGATAATCAAATAGCTGACCCCAGACCCCATGCGCAGTCCTCAATTGAGAAACAGTGGCTGTGAAAAGTAGTTCTGTGAACTGAACCACCCTAGAGATGTTGCCAGAACAAAGGGAAAACAAGTGATCAACAGGTGGGGGCTGTAATCATTTGAGAATTGGGACTGGGATTAAGATCAGCTGTGCTAACTTTTGGCCCCTGAGGCATCTTTGTAACTGAAGGACTGACTCTAAAACTAAGGCATTAACCTCGAGCCCTTGAAAGCAGATAACCCTTGTGCATGGGGGTAAAACCTTGGACTCGTAAATGAGACTATGCAGTAAACGTGAAGCTAAATTCCAAACCCCTAGCCAGGAGGGCTAGGCTCTATAGCTTAGGAGGAAGTTAAGTTGGTCTGGGGACTTGAGTTTGGATGGGTGTTACGGATGCTGGCCTCTGCTATAAAAATCATGTCACAGAAAACATGACTTGGCAGGGAGTTGCAGGGGTTGGAAGGAAGAGAAGGGACACGGGGTGCTCTTTGCCTGGGGTGATCCCAGCTTGGTTCATCTCCACTGTAAGGGCGCAGCAGTCCTTGAGTTGGTGTCAGCTGTGACTAGCTGTTACTAATCCCTTTAATACAAGTGTTAATGCACTCGGTCTCCGGTGGGGACCCTGAAACGACTGTACCCCAGTCTGTGATGGCTGTGTCGCCCAGCCACTCCTGAGCCCCTCGTTTCTGAAACTGCCTTCCTGGCACCTCGGGAGTGTCCTGGAGAGACACCTAGGACGAGACCTAATGCCAACTGAGACCAGACCACCTCACCTCCCACTGCACGAGACAGCTCCTCCGGGCCATCCCTTCCTGCAGCAATCAGCGGCCCCATCTCTGGCTGTACTGGCCAGAAAACGCATTTACCCACCCACAACCGCCACATTCAATCCTTCACCAATCCTTTACCTGGACTCTTTGGATGCCCGAATCTCTGGTTAATATCCTGCCATCTCCCCACTCTGGTCTTTTTTCTCTCCATAGAGAGCAACAGCCTCTCTAGGCCCTAGGGCGCCCAGACCCAGCCTGGCTCTCAAACTGCTCTCACCCCGGTTCTTCCAGCTCTGGCCACTGGCTCAGAGCCTGCCTTAGGGTTTCTGTACCTGTTTCCAGGATTTTCCTGATACCTCAATTTTAAGGCCAGAGTTCATGCAACTGAACTTTTTTTAACCACTTGGGAGCAAAGCCCTGTGCTGTGGGAACAGTGGTCGGAAGTGCTTTCTTAGGAACACCCACACCTCTCCCTGGGGAGACTTCCAACTATAGATAATGGGTGAGATAACCCCTTCCTTAGCAAGTGGCAGTCAGCTCCGGAGAAGAGCCTTGCTCAGACTGGGCAACCCTCCAGACCACGGCCCCTCACTCACCCTCGCCAGCCCAGTTCCTCTGTCTATGGGATTCTCCAGGCAAGAGTACTAGAGTGGGTTGCCATTTCCCCCTCTAGGGGATCTTCCCAACCCAGGGATTGAACCTCCGTCTCCTGCATTAGCAGGCTGACTCTTAACCCCACTGAACCACCTGGGAAGCCCCAAACTGTACGTAAATAGCATTTAACATACGATGCTGTGCCTGCTGGGTTAATCCAATTTGCCTGCCCTACCGACATTGTAAACATCACAACAGGGACCACGTTTTTGCAATACTTAGAGCCCACCAGATTAGCTAAGGGAAGCTGCTGATCTGCACTCTGGAGAGAATGAGTCATGAGAGCCTCACCTGAATCCACATCGAATTCCTAAGTGTAAAATGGCATCTCTTAAAAACAAACCCTTTGGGGCAACTCCTTCAAACTTTCTCCAGGAAAAACCCGTAGGCTGGCTTTGGGGGAGACTGGTTGCAGTTTCCTGAGTTGGGTAACAGTGATTATACATCACAGGGATGTCTCCATGGTTAAATCTCACAGGGGCAGCCTGACCTCAACTGCAATCTCCATTTGCCATCTGTAGGGAGGGAAGTCTCCAGGAGAGCTGGCTTTTTAGCAACACTTTTCCTCATTGCTGGGCAGAATTCAGTCCCAGTTCACATCCTGTCCTGAAGAGGGCCGATAGGCTCCAAGATGGAGTCGCTCCTGCTTCTCATAGTGGCCCCAACAGCCCTACAAGTTTCCACCTCGCCCTGGGCATGCTTGGCCTCAACCCTTATTGCACACGAGCGTGCAAGTGGTCTAGAAGAGCCCGGATTAAAAAAAAAAGCAACCTGAAAGGCTGTGGCCACTTCCCACCCTCTCTCTAGCCCAACTCCACAGCATCTTGACAAGGCAGAGATAGGGTAGCACACACACTCAGTTGAACTCTTAAATTCTGTGTGCATGTGTGCTGAGGCGTCAGTATTTGCGTCCCCATGGACCATAGCCCACCAGGCTCCTCTGTCCGTGAGGTTTCCCAGGCAAGAATACTGGAGTGGGTTACCATTTCCTCTCCGAGGTGGTCTTCCCAACCCCCAGGGATTGAACCTGCGTCTCCTGCATTGGCAGGCAGATTCCTTATCACTGAGCCACCTGGGAAGCCCCCAGCCCTTGTTGCCTCCTCCCGAAATCGGATGTGTACAGGAGATGGAAGGCTGTTTTCAGCTTTGGGGAGAGACAGGAGCAATTGGACGGGTGTTCCAAACTCCTGCTTGCCCACTTTCAACCCTAGTGTTCTCATGTCCAGGCTCCCAAGGAAGGGATCTGCTTCCCATTCTGTCCTGGGCGCCCCCCTGCAAGAGGGCTCTGTGCCAGGTGAAGGAATGAACAGGGGGAGGAGGGTGGGCACTTACCCCCTCCAGGAACTCAAGGTTGGACTAGCTCACCTCTTGGAAGGAGAGGTCGGAATGCCCCATGCAGTAGAGTAACTGCCCGCTCTCTAGGAGTCTTGCTTTCCTGGGTCCTTTGCAGCTTGTAAACAAGCTCAGGTAAGCCACACTCAAGAAGCACCTGTCGCTTACCTTAAGCCAGTTTTACTGCCATCACCTGTTAACCTGCTCCACGAGCAGGCCCTCACTTCCAAATCGCCAGAAAATCGAGTTCAGGCTGGGTCTGCCTGCCTCTGTTGTCCAGTG